TATCATTTACAGGAAGAAAACGAGCTGAATGTGAACGTTGAGGACAGTTAGCCCAGTTAGCGCAGTTAGCCCAGTTAGCTCATTCCCCCGTAAGGTAAAGCAGCGACACGCTAACGATGCTAACGACGCTAGCGACGCTAACAGACCAACTGACAGTTTGATTCGTGTCGATCAGCGTCGGACAGGTTGAATCCGCGGTACGCCTCTTTTATTAAAACACCAACAGCTGGTTTGTCAGTGCTAACGTAATGTTAAAGCAGAGCCACGTCTGTATGTATGTATGTATTAAAAAAAAATAAAAATAAAAATAATAACCTCACAGAAGCAGCTTTGTTACAACATTAACCGACTTACGTTGTGATCGTCTTCAGACCAGTCCATCTTGTTGTGTCGGAACCGAAGGGGAAGTTCCTGCGGCTGGACGGACCGGAATCAACGTAGCACTTCCGTTTTTCAAAGTAAAAGTAGCGAATGTTTTTGAAGTATTTGATGGTGGAAAACTGCAGAAAAGGCAAAAAGTTATAGATTATTTATGGGATTAATTAAGATCTCGTGGAAGATGACTGTATAATGCATGCTGTACACATCTGTGGGACCGATTTAACCCCCTGTTTCTTACTCTCTGAAGGCAGAAATAGACATACAGCTATAACAAGGACAACAAAGCTGAACAAATACAGGCTTTTTTATTAAAAGATTATTTTCTAGGCTTTTGTTGCCCTTTTTTAAAAAAAAATCAGAATCAGAAATACTTTATTGATCCCTGGAGCGAAATTAGTTTGTTACAGTTGCTCACACAACGTTAAAGAACAGAAATAATACTCATATTACAATATCTAACACAATATATAGAGAATAGAAATGCATATATAGGCATATACATATAAGTAAAACATAAAAACAGAAATATAATAAAAGTATGTACCTTATATTAATACAATATATAGACAGAAGTAAATGGATAGGAGCTGCTGAAGAGTGGGCTGCTGCAGTAAGGAAGATTGAGTTATCGGGCTCCCCAAACACAGGTTAAAATAAATGTAGAATTATTATATACATACTACAAGTAGGTGAAAAACAGATGCATATAAATATATATATATAACCAACAACATCCAATGTATATATACAAGTCAGGTGTTTCTGTAAATTGTAAACAAATAGTGCAAAGAAACGAATATTAAATAGAAAGATGCATGAGGATGAAACGCATGAGAGCACAAATCTGGAATAATAAAAGGTCTTGAAAACTAGGGCATGCCTTGAGGCCTTTATCCTGTCAGTGCTTGTGCTTTAATGGAGCATATTCCCAAACAGATTATCAATTAAATTACCACAATCCAGTTGACGCACAGGAGCTTTCAAGGCCCGTGCAGAGATCTGGTTTACCCTCTGCACGCTTGGTAATCCAAGTTTAGCAAAACAAACATCATATTCAACATAACGTGAGATGGAAGACGTGTCGGTGGTGGCATTGTGTGTTATTTCTGTTGAAAAGCTCCAGAAGACTGAGAGCTGCTGTAGCATTAGATTAATGCTTGCTCTTAATAATTAATAATAAACAGTACAGCTGATATTTTATTTTGAAGGCGTTAAACAATAAATCTTGTTTCTATTTAATTTTTTATTTCCTTGATGCATTTTTTTCGTTCTTCCTTTCTTCTTCCTGGCAATGCAGCAGTGGATTTCATTGGGTTATTGTCTTTAACTCCCGCCTACAGGCATTTACTGCTGCTGCCAGCAGTGGAAATGTGTTTCAAAGCTTCAGTGCGCCAGTGGAAATACTCAGAAAATCAAGGTTTGCTTTGGTTGCAGGAACAATACATGCATATTCAATAAGTGATACATTCACTGTCCTAAAGACAGTCTGTGAATAAAAAGCTTTTTCAAAATACACATTAAGGTAGAACACAAGTCAAATTACTCACCTATTCTTAGCTATTGTTGTATTTTAACACCAAATACTCTTTTATGAGGCTCAGAGAAATGATACCGCTCTTCAAATAAGATTTAAAACCTAAACCCAATTCATTTNNAATACTAGTTTATTGTGAAAAGATGAACTCTAAATACACCACACGATAGAAATAAAGTAAAAGTTTTATCAGCAAATTGTACCCAAAGTATTTGTTTATCAGAAAAGGCCCTCGTAGTGTTATATTAGCCTATATTTATAACATTGTTGATGCATAAACATACTTTAATGTTATAGCTGGTTGAGGTGGAGCTCATTTTAAAGGCTTTATATACTTTTTGGGTAGTCATCTATTGTATTTATGTGTATAACACAGCATCATATTTTATACAGCCCACTGATCACATGTTTTATTTGTTAAATCTTGATCTAAAAAGTAACTTTAGTACAATATTTCCCTCTAAAATGTTTTGGAGGAGCATAAGGCAACATAAAATAAGAATACTCACATAAAGTACCTCAAAATTACTTATATAACTTCCACCACTGTGCAGCTTTCTTCCCAAATGACCAGACAACTGTAATGAGGAATAATAATAAACCTAAACAAACAATCAGGTCGTGCACTTCCAGGTCAGTAGCAGTAGATGGCGCCAACATTCAATCTACAATCAGAAGGATTTCTGTCTGCAAGGCTGCACATAAGTTCATCATCAGTATACAGGATCTATTTTGGGCTGTCTCTATATCTATGATTATACATAATCTGGGGTGTTGTTGTTAAAGAGTATTGTTCTTGTTGCATGTTAATGCAGACTGATTTGAAAAGTCAGCAGTGTGTAACCACCCAGTTTTCAGCCTCTAAAACCTAATTTCCATACTATACTGTATACAGTGCTGTGGTAAAGCTTTGTAGTAAAACATTCAAAAACACTGATGTTGTCTAAAACAGTGGTTTCAAACTGGGGTCCCAGAGTGGGTTTGTTGGCGTTCTGCAGAACGAAGGATTTAAATATTTTAAGGTTTTATCACATTTTTTGGAAGATGGAACATAAACCTAAAATAAGATTGGCCATTTTTATTGATTATAATTTATAGTGATCTTAGTTTGATCTCTGATCGACTGTGAAAACTTCATTATCTTCAAACCTCAAAATAAAAAATCCACTCAAATTGGGGGTCAATGGTCCAATGTGCATCTATTACAGGTGGGCGCTGACCTGAAAAAGTTGTTGTTGAGTGTGTTTGTGTGTGTGCTGTCTTCTTTGACAAGGTGGGAAAGTGTGACTACC